TTCATTAGACATGTAAAATTGACATTTTCAACATAATTGTTTACATACCGTAGCAAGCAATGTAGTGAATCATGTGGAACAAAAGTGTTAAGAAAATAATTGATCAGTTTACCACTATTGATACTGAAGGGGTACAACACACTTTTTCTACTGCTCTGTTCAAATAAAAACGCATCTAAACAAACTCATTGAAGAAAAACAAATAAATGATTCACTATTTACTGAGGCATATAGGCACATGCAGGTTTTCTAACAAGATGAGTTTAGAATATTTCCTTCGGACTTAAAAATAACAATAGAATTTTCGATTTTAAGTAGATAATATAAACAACAAAGTTTAGTAATTATATGACTAAATTTACACTGAAAAATACTTAGAGCAGTGATACAAACTAGTCGTCTTTTTTAATGAAAAGATCAGTGTCTGAAAAAATAATGTTCATGAAAAACTGGGAAATCAGTGGTTAGGGAAATTACTGGATCATTTGGCCAAATTCCAGGATGATAGAAGTAGTGACAGTGCCAGTCGTAATACGAAAGCATTGGCATCGAAGATATAACTTAAGTAGAAAATATAAATCAGCGAAATGAAAGCGAAGAAGTTATAAGGATATCAGAATCTGAAAGAGGACAAAAAATGGATACACCTGCACCATTGAAAACAATTTTCAGCCATGTCATCCAAAGTCTGTTACCATCCGTTACGATAATCACGCGGACCTCCAACAGGTGGTCTACAACTATTAAAATGGCTAAATCCAATTGTTTGTGACTTCATAGACTGATGGAATGCTTTAGTTTGGCCACCACTAGCTTGCTTTCAGCCTACTCTTACACCAGAAAACCACCTATCGAGGTAGGCAGACGTCAAGCATACATAACACCTGTCTCAACCACCTCAGTTAGTGAAGATTAACTACCTTACCAATCGATTTCCCATTTCTACCTAGTACTCTACTCCTAACCCAGGTATTGCTTACTCCGTGGTCCCAAAATACACCAGAAGTACTTTGTAAACACCTATGATCGAATATAAGTAACCTACGAATATCCCCAACACTTAATAGCCATGTTTCACGTCCATTAAGCAGAATGAAGCGAATTGCTGCGTAGCAAACGGACAAACATCTCGCCTACATAACAGGTTGATAAAAGTCAATCGAGTCCTCTGAATGCTTGCTGAGATTTCGTCAGACATCGGCATTGATGAGATTCCCAAGATAATTGAAGTGGTCGATATGCCCAACTACTTTATTCCCTATCACTAACTCAGGGGGCGACATAAGCCAATCCTGAAGTAACATTTTACATCTGGAGGGAGAGAACCGCACCCCAAAAATGCTTGCATTGTCGCTCAAGGTGGTCACAAGACTGCATTTTGTCAACATGTTCACAAAACAGAACTATATCATCAGAATATTCCAAGTCAACAAGACAATCTCATTGTACAAGATCAATCCCTGAAAAGTTAGACGATGAAAGTGTTATGTCAAGAAGCATGCTTATGACAAAGTTGAATGATGTTCATGAGAAAATGAGAAATCAGTGGGTGGTGAAATTTGTGGATCATTTGACAGTTAGCATGCATTATTTTGCTGAGGGTTGAGTGGAAAACCTTTATCCTCGTGATAAATACATTATTAATGGATAAAATCAAAGTGATTGTTAGATATATTTTGTTGGTGATTTATGAATTTATAACATTAAGGCCTTATTATCAGACTTATAACTTATTATCTATTATATCGGTCCCTGAAACAGGTATTAGGCACTTTTATATTTCATTTTAACGTAGTTCAATAGAACCTGGTAAAGCTACAGTTACAAAATATTCTCGAAGCAACCTCAAAAAGACCAGTGGAAAGTAAAAGTTTTGTACAACTTTCCGTAGCTTATACTCGGATGTCAAAAAACATTTAGGTGTTTAACTAGGCGATTCAACAATCTAATAGTGTCTTGGAAACAAACAAGATATCTTTCCACTTTAAAAGCCGTAACATCACCGTTTGTCCGTGTGTTTTAAATAGGAGAGAGACTAACGTGGGAATCTCGTCACTCTTACCATTTCCTTTTTGTTTCCCATTTACCTTTTCTCATTTCAAATGTTTTTTTATTCCTGTGACAACAGACCGCAACGAGGGACATGAGAGAACCCAGGGTGCAGTGTGTATGCAAGAACTAACAATCATTCATGATCTAAAATAATAGTCAAATAAGGTAAGGAAATTTCACTGTCACTGAAGTTACCTCGGCCTTAACTACGCAGTCTATAGCTTATAAAACTCATCTCTGAGATCTGGAAATTTGGCACACCGGCCATGTTGGCGCAAAACAATGAAGATAAAATCCAATGGAAATGAAGAAGGGGCGCTTCTCCACTGAATCCACAGAAGAAATCACCTTGACGCAACTAAATTTTCAGGGGTCAAAAAGTACCTTTGTTGTTCCTTTACGTACGTCAACTACGGCTCCAATGGTACATACAGTTCTGCTTTGGATTCCATATTCAGGAAAGCAGATTACTGATTATTTGCCACAGCTGTTTACTGAAAAGTTATATTTTGGTCAAGACAAATTTAATTCGTGATCTGCTCCGTTTGCTTATTTATTTATTCGAACATATAAATATTGGTACAAATCGGCACCGAATACATATGAGCCACGCAAGTCACTTGATTTGTGTGTGGACTGTGATACTGACTGGGTGCTCAGACCGAAGAAGGTGGTTTTTTAAGGGGTGGGCACACCCGGAGCCTTCGACCCAATGGTCTGATCCATAAGGCAGTGGAGCAACATCAGGAAACGTAGTCCCATGGTAGCCGGTAACCAATAATTGGTTCATACGTCATTTGTTCCCTCAAGATCCTGGAGTTCATGTGCACCATTGGTTTGGAATCAGGGATTTCCAAGTCCCCTAGGTGGAACCTCCGTTTCCACCAACCCGGTTAAAGCGCCGGGCATCCGCTTTTCGTCCTCTTAATTTCGTAAAGAACACCCCCGCTGTGAGAAGGCAATGAGTGGGACTTCCCTAGCAGTGGTTTTATACGCACGGCCATGTGAGAGCATTTCGAGAGGGAGAGCTGACTCTCCCCGCCCTCGACCGTACCAGGGCATTCAGGGCCATGTAATGTGATGGAAACTTTGTTCGGTTATATAGAATAGAATCCAAACCATTACAAATTATATTTTTTCGGTTAGAATTGTCAAGCCACTAACTGTCTTGGTTTAACAAAATATTTATAAGAACTAATTTCATAGAGTGATAAAGATCACTTAAAGACAAACTGATAGTAACTCACGCCATTCAAGTGACTCCTACTTGATAACACAACCCAAAATGAAGTGAAGGGACGTCATAAATGTTTTTTTTTAAACCGGTAGTTCGAACAGACCTAGTTACTTATATAGAGACAGTGACTTACCGACAGTTTTTTTATCGGGGGGTACAAGTGACTGGTAATAACTGCTGTCTTCCTTATCATTATATATACTTAAAGTTATCGGTAATCAACACGGCTATAATTGAAATGAACAGTATAGATATGTACAACAGGCGAGAAGACCATTTATTACATGCAAAATAAGTGCTGAATGGCAAAATCAGAATGAGTCATGTTAATGGAATTACGATCACTAATTACACTTCATTTTAGTTTCCGTTTGTTCGATACTTAATATCGGTCAGAAACAGAGGTCACCCTATAAGCGATCCAAGCAAGAGCACGTGATAACTAAATTTAAGGGCTATTGAATGTTTCACTGAATAACAATGTATCTCCAAGGGATAGTAGAATTATGCCAAGGAGAGCCTTTACAACTATACTTGGAAAAATCATACTGAAATAAGTCCTTAGTTCTTGGATGGAAAAATGTGACTCAACTAGGTATGAAGAGGGAAAGCAGCTCACATATAGACTAAACTATATTGCTAAAACTAACTGGTCTCTGTCTATCAATTTCGAATATATCTAGCTTTACAGTAAGCCACTTATTACTTTATGTATGAAAAACTAATACTTTCGTATGTGAATTTCCTGAGTAAATTAATCAATATATTAGTGTATTTACAAACTGGTTAAACAGGGAAACAACGTTTGGAGCTGTCATAGATTGCTGCCCAATCAGGATGATATTATCTTACTATGCTATAATACCGAAGCCATGCAATCCCTCTGTAGGTATGGTATGTGCTTCGCACCTTCGAAGTGCAAAATACTTCTACAAGACTGGCAGGATTTTAATCCTGTACTCACCCTGGGTGGTAGGCAGATGGAAGTAGTCGAGAAGTTCGTGTATCTGGGTAGCTGAATAAGTGCTAGTGGTGTTGTGAGTGATGAGACCGATTCACGTTTGGTGAAATCCAGAGCAGTGTATTCCAATCTGGGCCATCTTTGGCGCCTTCGTGACGTTAGTCTGGCTGTAAACGGTCGGATTTACAACGCGTCGGTGAGAACAGTTTTGCCCTATGCTTGTGAAACCTGGCCTCTCCAAGTTGAGGATGTTAGACGACTCTGTGTTTGATCATCGTTGTCTCCGACGGATTGTTGACATCCAGTGGCAACACCATGTCAGTAATGAAGAGGTTCGGCATCGTGTGTTCGGGCGCACAGACGATAGTTCAATTGGTTTCATCATCTTGAAACATCGACTTCAGTGGCTTGGACATGTTCTACGAATGTCGTCACAGAGAATTCCACGTCGTGCATTATTTGCCGACTCTGGGACTGGTTGGAAAAAGCGGAGAGGTGGTCATTGTATGACATGGTGTCGTGGAGTGAAAGAAAGCTACAAAGGGCTGGCTTGTGTTGGTTCTTCACGACTCCCTGGTTGAGGTGCTAGAGATGGTGCAACACAGTGGCTAGAGACGTTATCAGATATGGCTCAGAATAGAAGCCAGTGGCGATCCTGTTGTAACCTTTTTTTACTTCATAAAAAGTGGCCGCAACTTCTGAAAGAATTCTTTCTGGATGTACCTTTGTTCCCCCCTTGCACCAAAATTTGTGTTCAAATAAATAAATAAATAACTGCGCGTCCCAAGTCCGGATAAAGGAGGGTTGGGCAAGGGACCAGCAACCCCATCTCATAGAAAACCTTCATAAAAAACGCTAACCAGAAGAAACAATTTGAACCATTTAAACTCTGTTCTCCGAGTTGAAGGATTTTCATTCATTTTGACGCTTTATGGTGAAAACCGAGACTCTTCGGAAGTTTCTAGGCCGATGCCCCTTTTGAAAACCAGCGCAACAATTGACATAGGTACACAGAAAGTCCACACAATGTGGCAGGACCAGTCAAATAGACAATGAAACGAAAAAAATACAACCTGGTGATGCTTGGAATAAGTAAAACCCATCGGAGGCAAGATCGACAGGAAAGAGTAACTTCAGGAGACGTGCTGTTGTGATTTGGTCATGAAGAAAATGCTTCGTACACACAAGGAGTTCCACTGATTCTGTTCAAAGAAGCACGCAAAGCACTTGCAGGATAGGAATCTTATGGATGCAGGATCATCAAAGCATCCTTTAAAACAAAGGAGGGGATTACGATGAATGTCATCCAGTGCTCTGTACCCACTAACGATAGCGACGTGAACGTTAAGAATCAGAATACCAGCCCCTGAAGAAGACAGAAAATGAAAGTGTCAGGTACAAAAGTGACAAGTAACTATGTAGGTAAGTAATTAGTTAATTAAGGTAGAGTAAAGTAAGGAAGGAAGGAAGGAAAGTACGTAAGGAAGTAGTTAGTGAACCCGTTTAACTGATTCTATGTAACAGTAATTATAGTATATGACCAGAATTGTGATACCGCTTACCTTTAACAATCCCATATACACTATGAACTCTAGGAACATGAAGAAAGGAAAATAGAGATCTTGTGAAGTTGTTCGTGAACTATCGATTATAAATTGACGACCAACAAGTGAGGCTATGAAATAAATATATACTGCCAATGTGACAACCTATTAAGACATAAAAAGTAAGTTGATGTTTATAACTAATAAAATGTGCTTTTCAATCTAGAGAAGTGCGATCAGGTGATAAAACATGAACATAGAACAAATGTCAGTGAAAATATGGACAATCACATGCCTACATTGTTTATTTAGCTGAAATTTACTTCTGCAGTATAGTCTATATCATATATTAACTAATCACAAAAGTGACCGACCTACCAGAAATATATATATATATATATATTATATATATATATATATATATATATTACTAACTTCCTACCCAATCCTCAACTTATTTGAAATTACCAAGTCCAACCTTGGTATTGATACCCACGAAATTGAGGTGCTTAAAATTTATGTTCGTAGTCAAAAAGTTCGCTTATTTGGGTAGCCGTATGAATTTCCGGAGTGGTTGTGCAACAGATGAGAAGTTTAAATTAATCTGGGTAATCTTTGGCCACATGTAAGTTTGTATGTACATCACTTTCGTATTCCATTCTTGTGAAACTTGGCCGTAGACGTTTCGTGGCTTCCTGGGTTTTATTGCTGCTTTTTCTGAATGATTGCTCATACTAATTTATTTGTATTAGTTGTTTGAATCTTCCCATTGATGTTTAGGACTACAACTAACGAGTCTCCTTTGGTACATATACGTTTTCTGAAGATTAACCCGATATTCCCACTAAGCTACAAGCATTGTGAGGAAGGTCGGATGGTGGTTAGCAGCGGAATACGTACTAGCTGGGGAAATACAGAAAGTGGTTTCAGACTAGTGTAGCTTATTATACGAATAATGGAACCCTTCTAGAATACCGACGTTGGTGACTAGAGTGGCGTTCATATTAGACACTGCCTAAAAGGTAAAAGTTAGAATTGTCAGTCTATGGAATGGCGTCATAAAATGAAAGAAAATTACGTTGGATTAAGGTCTGTTGTTACACACACATTCCTTGGATGGAATACCACAAACTGCTCAGATTCGAAGTTAGTCAAGGCCCTGTTGTAATTTGTGTGTTCTTCACAAATGATAAATTGTGTTTTAGGAGAAACGGTATCTATTTCTTATTTAGATGGAATACATAACTATGAACAAAGCTGGTTGTGAGAAAATATTTCAGACGTCAGAAAAGTGTAACACTGCAGACATTCGGTAAGTAAACTACAACCATGCCTCCACAGAACATTTATGATTCTCGAAACTTACAAAGTGAAATAGAAATACTTTTTATCATACTTTTTTACAAAATGGTTACTGACATAAGTAGAGTGGAAAAAAATATGGTAGTGTTAGGAAATTGAATGTACAGAAACAACATCAAATGTACCATTTATGCGGTGTGTGAAGATGTTATATGAAGGGGTTTATTAAAAAACTAACCTGTGTGTAAACCAATGGGATGCAAACAAAATCGATCATAAACATATCCAGCAGACCCTGACGAAAGTTATTTATTTCCTGATAATTAAAAATAAAGATGTCAACTTTAAAGTTAAAGTGAAACACAAAACTAAGTAAACTGTGGTTTTTATAGCGCATCCACAGACACAACAAATTGGGATTCGTATAGTTAAAGAAAAACAGTTGCAAAATGTTTTTTATTTGCTGAGTCAAAATGTTTTCTGTTTAGGAATTTCAAAGGAATATCAAAAGAGCGGTGAGATACGAGTTTTTAGTCGATGACTAGTGAGTTTTAGTCCAACTTCTTATCGTTTCCACTACAGTTCAGATTTTGGTATGCTAACGACAAATTAACCTGAGACAATTGAGCTGTAGCTCCAAAGCACGGTAAATCTGAGAGTACAATACACCAGACTTTTAGGAATCTGTATTAATACTATAAAGAGTGGATACCTGTAAAAGCTGTTTTCATTTATTGTATTTTAAGGTAACCAATTTTTTTGAACCAACCTTCAGTTTCCTACTTTTGTATTTTGCCTCACCCGTTATCTTCGTACCTCAAAGTAGAGTATGTCGGTTAAAAGTGATACTTTTAAACGATCAATTTGGTTTTAAACCATTTGACTATATGTTTGAACGAGAACTTACTTAGGCAACCGAGTACTATCAAAAGCCCTTACACGGTGTGACTCAAAATGTATCCCGTAAATCTATCTAATAAATAGGTTTAACTGAGTTTGAAAACTTACTTGTTTGAGATACTATTGAGTTCGTAAATGAAAACCATTAACTATCTCCATTTCGCATACAAATGAGCCAGAAGTAGTGAATTTATTGTGCATAAAGGTTCCATAATAATATAATCACTCATGAGTTTTATTGTTGCTATACTGATTTTGTCCCGACTGTAATTGCTACTTTTAGGTTTGTATACCATTTAACCCGGTCGAGCTATATTGTCTAAAATACTTTAGGTCCTACTGTAGTAAACGAGAACACAAGTGGGGACAATCCTATGTATATGAACACAAAATTACAGAACATCTTAGTAAAATCTGAGAACCATACAGTAAATACTTTATTTGCAAAATGTCAATCAATCGTCTCAGACTTTATTGTTTTTTCGTTTCCGCACCAATCAACCTTTGTTCTTGTTCTCTTTTTTTTATCTTCTTAACCTTCTGCCTCCAGGAATTTCACTCTCAAATGATGATACATACTACTTATATCTGTCAACATCAGTAGCACACACCACACTATCACGTTAGAGAGGTCAGTTATGGGACGGTGAGACTAAAAGCAGTAACTGAAGTCCCTAGGGCAAGGTCGTGCTGCTGACTATACTGGAATGTGACGGTAGTAAGATGTTCGCCTCATATAATCACCCTCTACGCCGATGTTGCCTCGTCATAATAGAAGCAATAAGAAAAGGTTGGCCGTAGGAACTTCACGCTTTCACAATTTCACTTTCACTGCTGGAGGTTAGGTCTTTTGAAATACGGAGCTAACAATGAAAACTTTTTATAAAAGGCCGTGTGTAAGGTCTACGTGAGATGTTGAAGACCTAAGAACATGATACAAGACACCACAAGACTTGGATTACGAAAACGGCGGAGAAACATATAGACTAGTGATCGAGGTACTTTGTGTTGACTAGGTATTTACATAGATTCTCCTAAGATTCGCATACTCTATACAAATAAATACTTTCAAGAAATGTGCATAAAAGCCAATTTTTAGGTTTACTGATTTATGCATACACTTTTTGTACATGGAATCTGCTTTAACTGGAAACAACTTACATCAATGATGGACACCAAAGCATGATGATTAGTAATAAAGCCTTCTTTTCCGGCGAGAGTGACGAGGGAAGTAGTCCATACTATTGGAACAAACGGTTGGACATGAATGGGACTAACACTCATAATTATGTCCAACTCTTCTTCTGTAAGTATTCCTAAATGAAGGAACAGAACTCTAATATCGAATAGTTCTCAGACTATATTTTTGGAAAACGATTATGTACATTCATAGTTATTTCTTAGTCATTTAAACAATCAGGAAATTCAAAACAGCACTTCTGACACTTTATTAATCAACAACAATAGTCATATATGGAATAGTGCTTTCCAATGAACTACGGATCCGGAGTAAAAAAAAACAGGCTTAAAAAACAAAACAACCACCAGGTATATACAACAAATTATTCGACTACATTTAAAAGAAATGGATCACATGTTGCAATTGACGAACGAAAGCAAATTATTTAAACCTAGTCCACGAAGAGTTAGGAGACTAAGCTTGTGAAAACTGAAGAATTTGAGAACTGTATAAATTCGATATTGCTAATTCGCAATTGTGGTACACTAATCATGGTACATTGAGGCGATATACACCCTATATCACAACAATTTACAGACTAAACAACAAGTTTAACCACGGTTAGGAGAATTCGAGCATCGAATTTCCGACAAACCAATAATTAGACTGAGAAATGAGGTGTCAGATTATTCACATAAAAATGTTGAATCCCATATGGACTAATGCATTTCTATTTATTTTAAGTGATTTTTTATCTCAATATAATTTCCACCACCAACACAGATCATCTTTGTCTAAAACTCATAAAGCTTGACCCCTTGATAAATCTAAAAGAAAGAAAATCAAAGTTACGAGGATAAAATAATTCATCCTACAAGGCTGCTCGTCAGCTCCAAACAGACCACAGTAGATTATTAGCGAAGTATACGGAAAACCTGTTTTTAATTTTTATCGTTTATAATTTAGGGCTCTCTCAAGCTGTTAATAAACCTCGGAATGAAATTAATAATCGTGTTTCACAAATCTTTTTTTACAGTAACTCACTTCTCGACCAATCGGTCAGTTAGACGTAGCATAGAAACCGGTACATTTATCGATCACCTCAGGGTTCGCAATATTAATATGCAATAATACTGTTAACACTATAACTCTCATAAATAAAGCCTAACTCGAAGGCTTAATAACCGCACCTGCTGCGACGAAGAATTCTGGTGTAGGGAAACGCTTCTTAGCAATTAAGTTGAGACGTGTAGAGGTCATTATTAGGCTTGACATCATGTACCGAAAGCACGTTCGTCGCATTAAACGAGCACGTTCAGAGTTTCCAGAAAGATGCCCAGAAATTGAAATGGCGAACTTAAGCACCCATGGGATGGTCATGAATAGTCTCCAAAACCTTGTAAAGACGTTATCGATATAGAAACCAAGAATGAAAGAAACTGGTATTAAACCTTGAAAGCTCCTGGTAAATATTATAATATCTTCAAAGGTTCTGGATGTATTTAGATATTTAAAAGAGAAATCAAACCTTTGCCACTCAACCGATAGAGCGAAACGGTATACACAAGTGATTAATGCGTATAAAGTCATGAAAACAATAACATCGATGTAGATCAGTTTGAAAATACATCCTCTCCATCTAGAAAGTAATTTCAAACCATAAGCTTTACTTTAATAGCAATTTGAAAAATACACCTGGACCCCCAGTGAGAACAAGTTGGTTATATTGTACTGTCATTTGAAAGAGCGCTAAGCCTTAAACGTAATCAGTTTCAGTTTGGAAAGAATAGGGGCCTATGTGGCCTGCGTCAGTCCTGGTAATGGTGATCTCTCAGTTTATCAAACTTTCTCTTGAAAGCGTAGATAAATGGAACTTCAATCACGTGTTGAGGTAGTGAATTCCATTCATCGATGATTCTATGGAACCTCGACTTTAAAGTCGAGGTTCAGCTGACAAGTAATTTGTCCTGGACTCCTGAATTTTTTTAAGTGTCCTCGTAACTTCTCTTTTTTAGAATAAAAGAAAAGCGATGGCGTATCATGTGCCATTATTTCATTAAGCGGTTTGTAGCTCCGAATGGTTAAAATGGTTCTGGACGGAATAAACCACTCGACACGAGAAACGTTTTGGGAAACTTCCCTTCCAGCACACTGTAGCGGTAAATAAATCCCCAAAATAAATAGCCCTGTGAGTTTTCGACATTGGATGCTGACCATATGTTTCAGTGGACATATCTAGCTGAAGGCGCTCGGTCAGGCATCCGTACCAGATCACGTGTGGTAACGCCGTGCTCAACATCAACCGCAATCGCTAGCCAGATTAGATCAGAGAATTCCGATATATTGGTTATCGCCAAATATACTCTTCCGATCTCCTCGACTCTGTCTTTTGATTTCTCTCGGTGGGTACACATCATATTTGAAGGTGTTACTGGTAGAAGCGTTGTCAAACACTGAATACCTGTACATCTTCAACACGTTAGCGCCTACTGTAGACAGGGAACATAGCCGTCTGTTATTCATTACTGATGTTATGGCGAAAATTCGCTACCTCTTCGATACTGGCGCAGAATTATCCTGTCTTCCAGCAAACCAGTTTTCAACTTACAGGCAGAAAACTGAAAAGCGATTGCCATGTATGGTAAGTGATATGTTTATCTTAACTTTGGTTTACGCGAACCCATTTCCTGGATTCTCGTTGTTGCAGATGTTTCTATGTCGCCTATCGGTATAGACCTGCTACATCAATTTACTAATCGATACGCGCAAACGGGAGTTGGTGGGCGGAAATACTATGTTATCTGTTTGTAGACTGTCCCCAGTCTTTCTTAAGAACACAATCGACCCGTGTTATCAGTGGGTACTCGAAAAGTACTTAAGCTTCACGAGACCCGATTAGAACTACAGTGTGTAACCAGAAATGTTGCACACCACATCATGACTGCAGGATCATCTGTATTCTCGAAAGTGCTCCGACTATTTCTTGAAAAGCTGAGGTTGGCTAAAAGCGAATTCGACCATATGATCGACTTACAAATCATCCGGCCGTCAAACAGCCTATGAGCATCTCCCTTGAACATGGTCCCTAAAAGGAACAGCAACGATTGGTGTCCAACTGGTGATAATCGGTAACTGAATACGAAAACCACTCTTGAATGTTTATCGTTGCCGGACATTCACTATTTGACAGCTACTTTAAAAAATACAATTGTTTTTCTGAAAATCGATCTACTTCCTCATAACAGTAGACGATATCCCTAAGACAGCTATTACCACCCCGTTCAGACTCTACGAATTTTTGTGCATGACTGTGGGCTCAAGAAATGATTCACAAACTTTTAAAAGATTCATCAGTGACGTATTCAGGGGTCTCGACTGTGTACATGCATATGTAAAAGACTGCTGGATTGCAAGTCCGAACAGAGAATCTCATTTACAGCATCTGGAACTTGTTTTCGAACGACTCCCAACATATGGTACTACTGAAAGCATTAGGAAATGTCACCGACTTCCTAGATTTTCTCGAATAAACCACTGATGCTCAGCGCATTCGCCTTTTAAAAATCAAAGTTTCGGTCATTCTGGATTACCCAGAACTGACCACAGTCAAACACGTACGTACGTTTAACGGCCTGGTAAGTTTTTATAGACGGTTTATACGAAATCGCGCGTCCCTCATGAGACCCTTAACCAAATAACTATGTGGAAATGCAAAACCATCAATTTGGACGATAACGTCCAAGAAGCATTCTTGCTGTAGCAACTATGCTGACACCCCCGTGGCATAAAACCACCCACTAGTACCGCGGTAGACATGTCTGACTGAGCAATCGGAGGAGTCTTACAATGATGAGTAAACAACAGCCAGCAACCTATATCCTGCTTCTCGGGGCGGTTGATAGACACTTAATCGAGGTACAACACTTTCAGCAGAGAATTCCTAACCATGTATTGTGCTGTACGGTACTTTCGAAAATCTTTTGAAGATCGAGAATTCACTCTGATCACCGACCTCAAACTTCACACCTTCTCTCTAAGCTCGTCTCCAAACAAGTACTCCTCTCTAACGTCTTGACAACTGGACTACATTTTGCAGTTTACTTCAGATATGCAACACATTTCCGGGGAGAACAATGTAGTCTCAGAAGCTTTGTCTCATTCAACATCCTCAAACAGTTTCCAAGGAACCGAACTCCTCAAACGTGCTCAGCCTCAAAAAAAGACACTGATCTTCAGCACCAGTTATCGTCGACTCGACGTCTTCAATACGTTACGCACACTTTCTCATCTAGTTGTTTGAACAACCATCAAGCTCATAGCAGAACGGTCTTGTTGTCCTGATATGAACGAATACATGAGGGAGTTGAAGTACTCCTGTGTAAGCTGTCAGTAATCTAAGGTGACTAGACACAACAAATGTCTTTGAGCTCATTCAAAACTCCAGACGTCCGTTTCGATCATGTTCATCTGGATTTGGTTGGTTCTTACCATAGTCAAATGGATATTCTTACCTCTTAACTTGTGTAAACCGTGTAGAACGATTTTACCGGCAGCCTAAAGCTTCACCCTCAGCTGTAAATGTTTTACGACGGATCAAGCTATCTCTCTAAAATTCATATAATTATCACTTTTTACGCATTAAAAGGAGTTTTTGATAACCATTCATATTTATTAGTAGTTTTATGAAGTCCTACCGCAGTTAACGAATATTGAGGTAGAGGAAGTCTCCCTGCAACTAATTAAACCGCACTAGACTTACCAAGCTTACTGGAATTCTTTCTCTCCGCCATAATACTTTCGTTCCTTCAGTAAGCCTACTAATGCACATGCAACCGGAAGTCAACTCATACGGACAGTATGCCAACAAAAACGTTAACTGACTTTATAATTTAAACCAGAAATGATATCAAGATCAACATTTCTGTCATATTGATTTTTTCTTATTTCTTATCTCAAAACACTTATACTGTCATAAGTTAAACTTTCGCTGCGCATCTTACCGCGAAATCACTGTTAATTATTATGATCCCGCTTTGTCTGACTGTGAAATAATTTTCACGTAGACTTTCATTTTCAGCATGTTAAGAATTAAACCGAACATTTCTGAAACCACCACATATATTTCCCGGTCAGTTGCTGCCGACTTCTTTTTGATTTATCTTTCAGCTTGTCAATACTCGGGGGACTTTTGTCATTCTTTTGCTAACCTTCGGCGCACGACAATCCAACTGGACTCGGTGTCGAACCCACTTCACTTTGATTCTGGTTGGAGACTAGTGTTGTGGTAGTGGTTTCTAAACAAACGGTCTTGAACGCTGAACACATAATTACCGAAGATACTCTATTTCAACACGCATATATTATTATTATCATTGTTAAGTATATCTTACGTTATCCTAAACCCTCAATGCGATATGTTTTGTCGTACCTCATGACACCCGGGGTTGTCACTAATTTCACGTTACTCGGCACTTTGTTAGAACGGGCGCTTCAGAAATGCCGGCTTTACGGCTGCATACGAAGTAGCGTATATTTATTATTTAAACTTCAGGTGCATCAACCAATCGCTTTTTGTCATCATCTGCGAACGAAAAAGACTTTGAGAAACTGTACGATATCGCGACACAAGGTTATTTTCACGACATCTGGGATAAATTAATAAAGCGTAATTGAAGGAAACAACAGGTATGTACTAATTTAGAAGTGATAACTTCCCTACTGCTCTATATTTACAGTCGGCGGTGTTAACGAACATAACCGTAAGTGAAGCTTCAAGTATCTGGATGTGCCAAAGCATTTCATTCAGATATCGTTGTTACTTCTTTTATTCTTTACACTTAGGAATTCACAAGAAGATTATTTTTATTCTCAATAGACAAACAAGCGTGGCTAAAAAACTAATCTGTGGAATGTTTTTTATGTTCAACTTATTTTTCAATAAACATTATTTTGAAAATTAGCTGACCTTCTTGCTTACACGGGAAACTATTTAAATGTTGAAATAGTGTGTTTGATTTTCAGTGAACTAGCAATTAAATACATCACATGTTTCTTCTTTTGCAGATCTTTTCAAATAACAATGAATTGGCAATTACAATGAAAATGCATAATGACTGATGCTCAAGCGTCTGCTATAACGTTGTATAATAAAACGCTTTTCCCTTTCAATAAACCTATTTAAACATATGCCAATTTCCCCGTGGATTGTCGTTTTGGTGTGGCTTGTTGTTGGAATAAAGGCGAAGATAGAAGACCTTTTGGGTTTCAAAAGTTGGAATAAAAGTAGACAGTCCGACGTATATTTAGGCAAAAAGGCGAAAATTCGATGTGCATTTAGGCGGAAATTAGACAATTTGGCGTATATTTAGGTGAAAAATAGACAGTTCAGCGAAATTATTATTCAACGCGATTATTATTCTTATCATGGATGAAACTTTTCACTAGGTGTTCACTTCTTTTCTTTCTTTTCTCCCCCTAAATAAATATTCTTAAGATTACGAAGTTTGTAATTAAGACAATAACTTTTGTTACACTTAAACTAACTTCTCAGACCCGTTTTATCTTCACTATGCATATGTGACTCAAACATATTGATATTTCATTATCCTTTTCACTCAATTGAGACTTTCATAGCATCACTCCAAACCATGACTGCACAAACAATTATTCTAGCGTCATATCTTACTACCATAACAAGTTGTTTTTTCTTAATTATTTTTTGTTACTAACTCGACGATATATACATAGTCGTTTGTTCTTGTTTTATGTTCATAAAC